GCATGAGGTCCATTGTGTTGCCACGGCTGGTATGATTAAACAGCTCAGGAGAATCCAATCCCTCAAAAGGAAACTTAATTTGCAACAGGATCATTCTGCACTTGTGTTGGAATGGAGATGCATCTTGAGATTCAGGTTTAGAGGGCGATCGTTTGTGAACTGGATGTCTAGTATGCCGGAGCTTTTTCCAGTTCCATGGAAACTTCCCCACCCGAGTTGGCTGTATGACTTAGATCAACTGTGGCGCCATGAAGTGCAGTCCGCTGTTCAGCATGACCATAAGGTTTTTTGTGATAAACTTGCCTGTAGGGAGCAGTTGGACGCTAAACAAGGACATCACAAACTTGCCTTTGCCTCAGTCAGGGGCTTTACACCTTCGCTGGAATCAGTTGAACAGCACATTGAGCAACAGGCCATACTTGTTCCTTTGTCGTGCCGCGTCCAGTCCAAGTCCCATCAACGATATGAAGCATTTGTAGAAGATGCAGCTGAATTCCAGAAAGGCCAGAGTCTCCAACTGGACCACCAACAGGGATGGCTCCATGACACTCACGAGCATTCGATCATTGTCTCATGTCCCAAACCGCCCCAAGATTTGAATAATGTTCGAGTGCAGCAGGGAGTTCTTGTGACTGACCCCGACAGGATTTGTCAACACTTGTCAAGCTTTTGGCAACCAATCTGGCAGCGTGATGATTCGCACTTGCTTTGCCCAGAGCTGGATACAGAGTTTGAACCATTTGTGCGGGGGCTGCCCAAGAGCCCGATTGTGGTCAACACCACTGATTTGCAGTTGTGGAAACTAACGATAAATAAGCTAAGATGGAATGCTGCACCAGGGCAAGATGGTATCACAGCTTTCGAACTGCAATCCCTTCCTGATGCTTTGATCCAGGCCCTGATCAGTCTAATTGGGAACTACCAGGATGGCTTCCCCTCGTGGTTTATGGCCAGTAAAGTCATTGCTGCTCCTAAAGGCACGGGTGTCCCAATGCCGAGCAAAACCTGACCAATAACGGTCCTGTCCCAGATATACCGGCTTTGGGCCCAGGTGGTGTGCAGACAGATCTTGGCCGCCTTCGCACCTTTGATGACTCCAGACATTACTGGCCTGCTCCCAGGAAGAGGTGCATTCGAGACAGCATATACCACTCAGTGGTTTTTCGAAGCAGCACAAAGTAAAGGGAATAAATGCGCGGGTATCACCCTTGATCTTGTGAAATGCTTTAATATTATAAATAGGACTCGAGGAATTGCCATCCTGGCACATCTGGGTGTGCCACACTCAATCTTGGAGCAGTGGTCACGATCTCTGGCCCGCCTCACGCGCAGATGGGAGGTATGTGGGCAATGCTCGGAATCCATTCCCAGTAGCTGTGGCTTTCCAGAAGGGGATGTCCTCTCAGTTGTAGTAATGCTAGGGGTAGCACAATGCTGGACCATTGCATGCAGAAAGCGCGTTGCTGCACAAGCATTGTTGTCCGCCTATGCCGACAACTGGGCATGGGCGGTATGCCAACCGCAGGAGATGCAACCCATCTTAGCCACCACTCTCAGGTGGACGAAGATTATTGGCCTTCGTATAGATTGGGACAAAACATGGTGGTGGACTTCGCATCCTAGTTTAACCAATTGCATTCGACAAGCATTTGAGTCCCTGCAATTGCCGGCAGTCAATCGTATGCTTGCCGTCTCAGACCTAGGATGCCCATTAAGATATCAAGGGGCGGCTAGAATGGGCAAACTGGCTGAGCGCCTCGCTAAAGCTAAGGAGCGGCTGTCCCGCATCAAGGGGCTACATGCGGACCTTGAGGTTAAAGCAAAAATCATTGCGACCAGTGTCTATCCGGTTGCCTTTCATGGAGCTGAGCTTTTCCCACTGGGGCAACAACACACTCGGTCCCTTCGACACCACGTGGCAGAGGCTTTGATAGGTCCATCTGAAAGCATGTCAGCAGCTTTAGTCACACTTTGCGCCTCCAGGTTTGTCCGTGACCCTGAGCTACACATCATCCTCCGTGCTTGTGCTGCTGCACGCAGATTTTTGCTCAGTAGTGATACCGATACGCAGAAATTTTTCCTGCGATGCGCCTCACAATACTTTCCGCGACCAAATACCTCAAAGGGCCCTGCTTCTACCTTGAAGGCCTATGTTGCCCGCTTAGGATGGACGATTGACCAGGGAGGTTTCCTCCAAGTCACTGCCTTCATTCGCATTCATCTGGTAGAATGTGCTTGGAATACCCTCGTTTGGTTTGCGGAAAAAGCTTGGCAAGATAGGTTGCTCACTGTACCCTCCCATAGACGTGCTTTGATTAACTTTCCAAATATTGATCAGCATTTAACGAGGACTGTACTGGATAAGTTTAATCCCAAAGAACGCAGACTTCTTGTTCGTGAAATTGCGGGAGCTTTCCAAACCAGAAGCCAGCAGGCGATCTGGGATGACCAAGTCACGCCTGAGTGCTTGTGGTGTGGTCAAGAAGACACCAAACATCATCGTTTCTTCACATGTACTGCCACACAGCGCATTCGTGAACAGTTTGCCCCCCTGATTGCAGAACAGCTTGAGGTTGACACACTACTGCCTGATTTGCCAGTCATTTTCGAATGTCAGAAAGAGGACTTTCACTGCACATTCCAATTTGCCCTTCAAGAGAAACAACCAGAGACTGAGCTGTTGCGACAATTGAATCAGTGCCTTTCTGCTGAGAACCCATTGCATGTCTATACTGATGGCAGCTGTCAAAATCCTACCCTGCCCACTTTACGTCATGCTGGGTATAGTGTGGTGGTGGACACTTGTAGGTCTGATGAAGAGCGATGTTGGCAGGTACACAGATATAAGGAGACCGGACTTTGGCCCACCACCCTTTGTGTGGTGTTAGCTGAATTGTGTCCCAACGAACAAAATATCCACCACGCTGAACTTCGTGCTATTGTTCGAGCTTATGAGTGTTTTCAACATGCCATCATTCACTCTGATTCAGCAAGCGCGATTGCCACTTTTCAGCAGGCCAGGACACTTGGTAGACTTCAAATGCACAAGCATCCCCAGCCTGCCTTGTGTTGTCGCATACAGCGAATTGGTAACTGGGATACTAACCAGCTAGTTAAAATTAAAGGACATGCTGATCCACAGGACTTGCCGGACTTGGAAAGCTATCATGCCCTGGGCAATGCCACAGCTGATCGAGCAGCTGAAGAAGTGTGTCTTCGGAGCTATCCAGCCCTCACTGACAGCTGGCTGCATCAGGTTGCAGTTCGCCGTCAAGAGATGCAGACTCTGCAGGAATTCTATCAGCTCTCCCTGCAGCTGCAACGCTATAGAAGCGAACATGATAAGCATAGTCCCGCATCTTTAAACCTGCTGGAACAACACCCAATGCGGCACGCATTGGCCTTCTCCGGAAAAATGGCCTCTTGGTCTGTCATGAACCCCTGGACCTTTTGCTTGGACCAAGCGTTGGACTCTCATTTCTATAACCATTCGTACTGGGTACATCGCTTCTGCTTTGTGTCTTGCAGTGGTTAAGCTGTTTTGAGTGGCCACAGGCCCAAGATGAAACTGACTCCGTCTTGGTTGCTGTCTCATGGATGGAGTTAGTGATTAGCTTCATGCTCTTTGCTCGAGGGCATTTGCCTATTCACCGCCTTTCCAAAGATGCTGTACACCAATATGTCTGGGCTAAGACACCCGCACAAGCAATTGCATATAGTTATTCTTGGAATGAGTGTGCTACACAATTTGCGGCTATCTTTAGCCAGGCTGTATCACTGGCAGGCATTCCTATCCTGCCCTCACATGTCCATAGAGCTCGAGTCTGTGCACTTTATCGCCAGGGTGCTGGTACATGTGTGTTTGGCTTGTCACATCGACCTTGCTTCCCGCAACAATCAGAGGTTGCCTTGTTGATTTGTAAAGAATTTCAGACACGTATACGTCCAACTAGCAACAACTGGTGGCCGGCACTTGCACTGGATTCTGATTTGCCATGTGCTTTCGATTGGTCACCTGCGAGTGTTTCTTGGAATGTCTCCCAGAAGCGGTTGAAGGAGGGCAACCGGCGTGCGCGTTCTGCCCGACTGGAGTTGTCTTGACTTAGCTACATCCTGCTGTTCCCCATGTGAGCCCGCTGCTTTTAGTTTGCCGTCTTCAGTTCTGACACTCAGCCCCTCTCCCGCCACCCGAGCCAGGGAGGGGCCTTTCTGCAAGGAAAACGCCATCGCTAGTAGGTTGGAGGCCATCGCTATCAGGTTGGAGGCCATTCGCTATCAGGTTGGAGGCCATCGCTAGTAGGTTGGAGGCCATCGCTATCAGGTTGGAGGCCATTCGCTATCAGGTTGGAGGCCATCGCTAGTAGGTTGGAGGCCATATCTCACTGGTTGGAGGCCATATATATATCGCTAGTAGGTTGGAGGCCATATATTGCCTGTAGATTACAGGAGATAGATCGCAGGCATCCCCGTGTGAATACCGGGGCTACCCCAGGCCCCCCTATTCTGTAGAAAAAACCAGGCTAAACAGCCCAGTTGGCTCACTATAGGATAGGTTTCTGAGCAAAATGTATACGCTGAGCTCACTACAAAATAGTTGAACACCCTAGCTAGGAAAAGTGACTCTTGCTTTCATTGCTTCACTATAAAATTTGATATGGAAGCATCAGGGAAGAAAATCAGCTGCACGACAGGTACCCTGGTCACCACATCGGAGAGATATTTTATAGTGACACGGTTTCCGTAAGAATCCGTAAGACACTTTTCCGACTCACTCCTGACATCAGCTTGCAGAAAAAATCTTTTTGAGCTCATGCACATGCCGGTAGGTTTGTTGGTGACAATTCCACGATCCATATTGATCCGTATTGCTCATTGATCCATGAAGATCAAAAGAATGCACATAAATGGCACGCTCTCTGTGAAGAGGCATGAAGAGGCATTCTCTAACCCCAAAGCTTGTCAGCTCAGACAAGACTTCCCCGATCTCTCCAAGGACATCTTCAATCAATGTCCTCAACCTCACCGTCAACATTCTCATCGTCACCATTCTCCACACCAAACTGGTCCCCAAAACTTTGCACGATGTCTCGCAAAAACCGCATGAACGGCTTCCGATCCTTGTTCTGTAGGCTGCACGACATGTCAGCAAAGAATGTGCTCACCCGCAGACCCCAAGCCGAAGCGTGCAAAGTACTGAACCTGAGCAGAACAGAAGATCATGAACACAGTGCACCCAGAAAAACTCAAACAATAGTCAGCAATGATCTAAAAGATTTCAGTACAATCCAAATGGATCCAAAAGGTTTGAAAATTAATAGGATCCAAAAGGCATTGCTTTCAGACACGGATAGCCGTATTTCAGGAAGTCCTCCCAAGATACATCCAAGCACTCTTCCAGCTTGATTCGGCATTTGGAAGTGCCATGCGTGAAGAGGGGATTGCTGGAAAACAGGCTTTCATCCAAAGCCTTCAGCTTCTTCATCTGAGCCTGTACATAGGCTGCGCCTTGCTTGTTCTTCCTGAGGTCTTTGCCATCAAGGTTCACCTCAGCCTTTCTCTTTTTGGCCTTGGCTTTCGGAACCTTGGGCGCTGAGCTCTTTCCATTGGACTCACCAGGTTTTCCCGCATCATCCTCTCCAGATTCTTGGGAAGCCTCCTCGCCGGTCTGCTTCTTCTTCCTTTTCTTGCCACCGCTACCCCTACCTTGGCGGGGTAGGAACAAAGCGTCGTACTTTCCACCCTCAGGTGAATGCGGCCACCACGCAGGAATTTGGGAGAGTTCTTGAAGCAACACCATGGAAGGTTCTGACATGACCACCTCGCAACCTTCAGTGGAGTCTCGGAAGGACTTGAAGCTCAAAGCCGCAACTGCGCCTTCAGGAGACAAATTCCAGGATTCCGAAGTACCAGAGCAAATCCACACGTCCGAATTGCCCGGCTTCTGCGTCATCTCCACCACACGAAACGCTAAGACATGACTGAGGGACATGGAATTTGGGCACAGTTGTCTCTTCTTGCCTGTGCGCCATATGGTGGTGACCAAGCCAACCGAGGCTTCTCTGTAGAAGCCGCACTTGCCCTTCTTGACCAACATCACCACAAGGATTTGGCCAGACCTTGGATCTGCAGCCCTAAACGAAAACTAAAATTCAAAATTCATCAAAATCCAATATTCAAAAAATCCAAACTACTTTGTCATACGCCTAACAATCCCAGACCATCCTGGTAAAAACATGAGCAAATCTCGAGTGGCTGAATGCTGTCAGGAAGTTCCACACTGCTCCTGCACCTTTCCGCAGCTAATCTTGCAAGCTCCTTCCACTTGTCAAGACGACCGGCGCGATGCCTCCATTGAGAGTCATCCTCTTCTTGGCGCACTTCACGGAGCAAACGCTCATTCCACCTGAAGGATAAACAAACAATGCAAGTCACAACCCCAATCCACTCCTACTATAGAATAAGAAACCATGAAGTTGGGAGAACCTCAACCTACTATAGAATTTGAATTTGGCAAAACACATATCCAGAACTGGCAACCCTTAATAATCCACTGAACCCCTCTCCACTATAGAATTAGAAACCATCAGTCTGGGAGAACCTAGTTCCACTATAGAATCAGAATTTGATGATTTTGATAACCTTCTGGAATCTGTATATTTTTATATATTATTGAATATTCTTGATATATATATATATATATATTGTTGATATTTGATGATATTTGTATATCTTATATATATATATTATATATATATTTGATTATATTTGTTGAATTTTGTTGATTATCTTTGGGATTTTTTGGCAGTGTCTGTGTGTTGTGGGATGTAGCGGGTGGATTTTGATTCTATAGAGGGTAACTGGTATGAACAACACAGGTTCTGAATTCTATAACAAAATTTCAAAATACAAAAATGCAAAAGAAGAACCCGAGAAAATCATAGAAAATCCAAGTAACTGGTGCCATGAAAGTCCCGACGCTGCTTTTCTGCATGTGCCTATCGCAGCCTCCTTGCCAGTGGCGCAGCACCATGCAAAGCCGCCAGAGTCTGTCCCACAACACTTCATCTGCCAGGCCATTCGGAGTTTCATACAAGCACTGATGAAGCGTCTTTGGCACTGCGCAAGCATCAAAGTCGGGCTCTTGGATCTGGTTGAAGGGCTTGAGTGGGCTCGTGGATGAACGCGCCCCAATGACTGAAGCCATGGATTCCTTGTCTGGAATGTTCCGAATGTCAAATTCCAGAAGATTCGGGTGCTTGACAACCTTTTCGGTTTCAAATCTCGCTTCCTCGTGAATCTGTGAGAGTAATGCCACGCACTCATTCTGCTCCTCTCCACACTCAGGTTCCAGCAAGTCTGGCTCCTCGAAGTCAAAGGCTTGGGAGTACTCAGCAAGATCAACATTGAAGGTCCCAGATTCGCACCATTCCCTGTACATCTTATCTAGCGCTTCAACCTGAATGCCAGAGCAAATGCTAACCAACTCAAGCGATGCCTTCATAGCTCGAGCACTGCAATCATCGAACTGGCGCGCGTTCAACGGTGGAAGGCTCCTGCAAGCGGGCACTTCTTGGTCTTGCAACCGGCTGGCTCTCAACATCTCGCGGCAAGCTGCTTTCCAATATGCTCTGGCATCCAGCTGCGCGTTGGAACTTTGGCAGCGCAGTCGGGAGAACCATTCCTCCACTGGTAGTTCCGTCATTCGGCAGTGGCCAGCGCTATGAAAATCACCAACGTCGGGTTTGGATGCACATTGGATGATGACGCTCAGTGCGACCTGTTGTAAATTCTCACTGGTTTGCGGTGCAATCCAGAGCGCACCCCTAGGCAACCCTCTTTGCCGGCAAGCCAGTTCGGATACTAGCTTGAACAGGTCAAGCAAAATGAATCCGCTCATTGCAGCTTCGCATCGGCTCTTGATGTCATAAGTCTTGTGCATTGAGGGCGCCTGAGCAAGGAGTGTGATAACAAATGACAACAGCATACAACAGCCATCAACAGCCTAAAACTTAAAAGACAAACTGAAAAGACCAGAAAGGGATAGAAAGGGATTGAAACATAAAGCATTCTAGAGCGATCTCAAGCATCGATGTTTAGGGCTGTGACCAGATTCAGGAGCAAAAATCCTCTAAGCTTCCAGTCGATCGTAACCATCTTTCCTGCGTCCTTAGGAACATGGAACAATAAAATCCAACCGGGTCATACCAGGTCCCAATCTGTCCAGTCCAGATTCAATATGATTCAATTCTAATCTTCTGAAAAAGCCGAAAACATCCTAAAACATCACCGGGATTCCCCGGGATATCCCGGGATCCTAAAACTCACCAAAGATATCAAAAGCTTGAGAGACTGAAGTAGCAGTCAAGGTGCTGCCTCTGGAATGCAGAAGTATGGATTGAATAGTAGGCAGTTCAAATAGTCTGACATGGGCTCGTCCCTGGCCCATGCTCCAACAGGCAATCCATTGGCACGCGCCGCACTGGAGTCGACGAAGTAGCTTCCCACGACAATGCACCGCACAGGGGATGCCAATTGCCCACCCAGGTTTTTGTGGGCATGACCTCGTTTCATGCGTCCCTCAAGCAGAACGATACACCGCCCAATCCAGGTCATAACAGGGGTCAAGAACATGCGGAAAAAGCAATTGATAAACAGTACGGGGCGCACGGGCCGCATAGCGGCCACAGCACTTCCCCGTGATACCGGCATAGCTTTGCTGGTAGTCTCGGCATTGAATGCTTTGGAAGCTCCTCAAAAATCAAGTCCTGCCAAAAAGGCATATCACTCATCTCCGACGCGGGCAACTCGCCAAAAAGAGCCTGCCTGAACATCACATGGGCTTGATGGCCGTCAAAAGCCACAGCTTTCACCAACCAAGAGGATTCCTGTAGCAACAGCCCCACCACTTTCATCATCTCCTACAGCCCGGTCATTGGCAGAAAACTACTAAGCCACCACAAGAACTAGGCCCTCACAAACGAAACCGCTCCAAAGAATTGAAAAGTAAAAAACAAAAAACAAAGAATACATACGCAAAGCGCAGGAGCAAGGTTTCCTTGCTTCACCAAGGTCTGATCGTCCGGTATGTCCTTTTTTCTCTTGAGGGTCATTGGGGCTGAGGCCAGCGAGTAGGTGGTGCGCTTGGCTGCCAAGGGATCCCAACAAACCACCTCCAGCATCAACGAAGCCTTTTCCGTTTTCAAAACGCCCGGCTGCAGGTTGTCAAATGGCTTGAAGGCCGGCTCTGGCGCTTCCACTGACCAAGGACCTCCGAGAAGACCTCTGACACCTCGAATTTTTCCCTGCATGAAAGTGCGGGTCAAGTACGTGTGGTCTATTGCTGCTACTAGCCGACGGACAGGGCTCACTGGGTCCCTCGGAAAGAGTTTGTCCAGCAACTGCAGATTCTCGGCCAAACAGGCCTGGTCGGATAACGCTAGGACTGGATTAGGCAGCCCACGCAAAGGCAAAGCATCACAATGAACTGCTGGGGTCCTTGCCTTCTGACCCAGGCTCTTCGCCAGGCTTGTATTGCCTCCGGCGATAGCGAATGACAAGGCGGCATCTTCAATCAGCCGGCTCTCGACCTCGTTTCTCTGGACGTGTCTTCCTCGTGTTGTTGAGACTCCCCTGCTTTGTTTGTCAATGGTCTCGAGGCACTGGCAAAGTAGACCTTGTAGGAATGGATTGGAATCCAAACTGCCAGCCACCATTGATTCGGCGACCTTGATGTTGAGACGCTGTAGCTCCTTGCAGAAGCACACCATTCAAAACAATCCTTTTTAGTTATTTTTTTACATATTACATCATATTGCACTTTCCTACTATAGAATTCAAAATGTATGACTGCGTAATGGCCGGGCACTATAAAATACAAAACATCAAACTTCTTCTAATCATTGTTCACTATAGAATTCAAAAGTGTCCAGCAAAATGCAGCCAAAACACTGTCAGCTCTAGACCAGCAAGCGCTCTCGTATACTGTTTGAATACAGTCTGCATTTCATCATTCACTGCATGAACGTTTACATTCAGGGACGGGGTCACCACGGAGTCAATGAAGGCAAACAAGTTGGGCGTATATTCGTCAGATCCAATGAAAGACCACGACTTTCTGACAAAAGCCTGAAGTTCATGGTTCTGGCACTTCACCATCTTTCCCCATTGGTCTGATCTATTTCCCCATGTTGTTTGCTGGATTTGGGCCTCAAAGGCCAAAGCCTCATCTTTCCCAAAGAATAACCTTTTCATCAACAGAACTGATGCGTTGTACTTGGCTGCGAAGCGGAGTACACAGCGCTGCACGCCACCCTTTGGATCCCCCAATCCGTTGCACATTCTGCAGCATCTAGTGCCAGGCAGTGTCTGGCCAGTACAAGAATGATGCCGGCACAAGTACTTTTGCGAAGGCACATCGATCCAGTATGTGTGCTTGGAACTGGTGAGCTTGTTGTGCGTAGCCCACAGTCTGAACTCCTCTCCGAAAAGACCCAGCGTGCCATGAGATTCCGGGCTCACGAGATAGCCTGGGCATGTTTGCAGGACTTCTTTCTGGTCAGGCGCAGGTTCAGAACCATCGGCCCCATCAGCTTCCTTCTGTTGCTGAAGGTTCCACTTCATCTCATTCTTTTTGTGCGTCGACCCAGACAAATGCTGCTCGAGGAAATGCTTCACCGCCTTTAGCTTTGCCTTGCCCAGTTTGTTGAGCTTCCCCTCCTTCTGGGAGGCAGTGCGGCAGATTTTGCACCTGTAGCTCAGGAGCTTCCCATCCTCCACAAGCTCGAGCATTGGTTCTTTCGATTTCACAAGCTGTATGCACAATGCCCTCTCTGTCCTTAGGTCAATGGAGCTAAATGGAGCTAATATATAATGAAATAATAAGAAAATATATAAGAGAATATAAGAAATATATAGAAAATTAATGAAAATTATAGAAATATATCCAGAAATATTATGAAAATTTATGAAATAAATATACAGATCAAAAAAATGCATATAGCATCATATAGCATCATATAGCCGCGTTATATCAGGATTAACGGAACGCAAAGATACGCAAAGCATCGCAAAGCCAAGCTTCTCTGAATCCAAGTCTGCCTTCTGGACATCTTCGTTCACACTGTCTCGACCTGCCTCAGGAATGGCAAAGTCCTCAAACTTGATCTGATCCACAACCTCCGCGGAAAGACCCGAGTCCACACAGATCTGAAGACAAGTGCGGCACTGTAGCTGTTGCTTGGACAGAATCTTGATTCGAAATTCGTTGAAGCCTCCTTCTGAACAAGACAGTGTTTTCCGGAGTGGGCAATTTCTTCTATGCAAAGTTCTGAAGTCATGATAGGTCATACCTTTTTGGGATAGCCAAAGTGTCAAGCCCTCCATCTCTCTCTCTCTCGCAGGGTCTTGGTTCTTCTTTTGCAGGTGCGTTTGTGCGATGCCCTTTTGCGGCCCTCCTGATTGCCATCTGAGAGGTTCAACTCATCTTCATCATCATCATCGCCGGATGGGGATGGTGGATCACCATCTGGCTGCTTCGAATGTTGCGGAATCTTCTGCATGGCTTTGTCGAACATGTCGTGCACATCTGGCACGGCAGTCTCCATACAGCGGACCTTGTTGGTCGAGCCTGGCATTTTGAGCTGCGAATCTGTATGCCGGGCTTGGAATCCAGGAACTGGTGCAGCATCGCCAATACGTCTCATCTTTGCCGCTCTCCTCATGTCTTCGGGTTGGACAACACGTGGAGGGGTCGACAAACCACAAACGGCTGCATCAGCGTCAGCATTGTCCCCAGCCTTTTGTTCTGGCTTCTCCGCTTTGCAATGGTTCTCTTTCTTCGGAGTTTTCGGCTGACTGGCAGACATCTCTGGGCACAAACAGGTGAACACCGCTTGCCAAGCAGGGTCAAGCATTACCACAAGCCACAGATTGCTCAGCAAAGTCCGATACAACCGCTGTTCCTTTCGATCTTGACCAACCGATGACTGAGCAACATGTTCCATGCCCAAATCCAGGATCCGGAGCGACCACACTAAGCAGTTGCCATCGGCAGGCACCAAGTAGAATGCGATTCCCTCAGCGGTACAAAGGTCGCGTATCCGCTTGCGATTTTTCAACTCCTGCATCCGCTGCTCAGCTTGCTGCATCTCAGAAAGTGCCTTGACACTCACAAAGGTGGTCTTCTCCTTCGTGAATTTGAGCAAATGCAATTTCTTGGCCAACTCAGCAAATTCAGCATCTTCCTGTTGAGATTGGATTGTCAAGTCTTCCCAATCCTTCTGCGTCAGTTGCTCCTTGAAAAACCCTGGCAGCCAATGGTTCTTTGGCTCGGCCGGGTCAAATGTGGCGTTCACAGAAATCAAGACCCACATTTTGCTGCTTGTCCGGTCGATGACACTGGGAGCATCGTTGAAAGTAAGGTCTTGCACCACGTCCATCAGTTCTTGAGAAAGTAAGCCGAGTTCAAGCTGAAGAGTGTTGCTCTTTTTCTTGGGCATAGGGACAGCGACCACAACCTCGCAGCTCTTCTCTTCCGCATAAAGAAAAGCATCTTGCACGTCCAAGTAGAAACCTGTTTCTTTAACAGAAGCAGCGTACTGCTCGATCTGCTTGGCCACTGCAGGATTACCTCGTTTCTCTCCTGTCAAGAGCAATAAAAGGGATAGAAAAATGATCAAACGGAAAACATAGACATACATAGACCCACTATAAAATTAGAACCTGTAATCATCTGCACCTACTCAACCCAAAATCAAATTCTATAG